GACTAATATCATACGGATTACCGAGTATTTTTTAGATGAAACCAAATATCCAAAGCTTCAAACGAGGCATCTTAGACCATTTGAGTGGTGAGAAGGTCAAAATGTTAAAAATGAATCTCGTCCATATGAAAACAGCGTTTTGACTCCTACTTTCATGCACCCCAACACCATTAATAAAATACATTCAACATATTTTTTACATATCAATTTAGTAAAACATTTAATTAAATTATTATAAGTAATTTTTTCCTTTTAATTTTGTCCCTGAATAATTATTAAAAAATATTCACATTTCAATGTAAAAAAAAAAATTCATTAATTTTTTATGTTTTGTGGTTAACAAAAAATGAATTTAATTTAAGTAAAGTTCAACTATGGAATATTCAGTTATGTAGTACTCCATATTTGTGAAGGCTAAATGAATTTAAAAATTTTCTTTTGTGTTTTTTTGGGCTCAAGAAAATTTCAACAATTCAAACTACGTATTACTTTTTTCATTTTATATATTACATATTGGTGTCATACGAAAGATTATAAAATTCATGAATTTTGATAAATTTTTTGAAAAATTTGGAATACAAATAAAAAAGTTGAGGTTTAATGACGTGGTATGTCGTCACTATGACATCATCCGTACCAGCGACAGCTTACACACTTCTCTTTTTCTTTTCTTTTCTTTTTCATTTTTCTTTTCCCTATCCATCCATCGTCTATTAATAACACCTTCAATGCCCTTACCCACTTTTAACACCCTTCTTAATCTTCCATTAAGCACATTTAGGACTTAGGAGTCCAAAAGTTCCACTTTTAACTTTTTGGACTCCTAAAACCTCTCCATTACAAATGACCTTAGTATCTAACTGCTAAACAATTGTGGCTTTACATATTGCATATTTTCATATTATCTACTATCAAGGAAACAGTACAAATATACCCTTATAGTATGAGTGTGAGAATATATATATATATATATATATATATATATATATATATATATATATATATCCATGTTCTATTTCTTGAAACAAATATACCCATGAAGTTTATGTGAAAATGCATATCTACTCCCGAACTTTTAATAGGTGCAAAATACCCCTCATATTCCTATAAAGAAGCAAATTTACCGTTATTGATTTTAAATAAATCAAATAATTTTAAAAACACAAAAAAATAAATTATAAATTTGAAATCGAAAAATAAAAATTAAAGAGTTAAAAATAAATATTTATTTTTATGTTAAAAATTCACTCTTTTATTTTAAATTGCAAAATTATTATTTTCTTGTTGTAAATGAAGTACTTTAAATTCATAAATATTAATATTAGTCAGTTGCGAAATTTTGAACACATTGTTACATGAAATAATTACATATGTAAAACTAAAATAAAGATTGTTTACAAAAATGTGACTAGTGACTAGAGTAGTAATGAAATCACAGTAACTCGTGTTCAATTTTTAAACTTAAGTTAGCATGACACTACCTTGTAGTAACTATTAGTCATATTTATGTAAATAAGTTTTATTTTAGTAATATGTTTGTAAATAACCCTAATTGTGGATATAACATTCTTTGATTTTGTTTAACCTTACAAAATTAAATTTACTTTGTCGTAATCTTGGAATATTTATCATCATACAAAATATGTAATTTTATAGTGCAAAGAATACGAAAAATTAGTTTTTTTTATATTGTAACACATATGTTAACACTTTTCCGAAGGAATCTTAAATAAATAGTAAATTTTTGAAATAATATTTTATACTAACAATATTAAATTATGATATAAAAATAATAAAAGGAAGAGTTGGACACAAGTAGATTTTTTGTTTTATTTTATTTTTCAATTTCAAATTTCAAATTTATATATTTTTAATTTATTTTATCTGTTTAAAGTCAATGAGGGTAAAATTGCTCCTTTATAGGAACACGAGGGGTATTTTTGCACTTTTTAAAGTTCAGAGATATATATGCATTTCCACAAAAACTTCAGGAGTATATTTGTTCCGAAAAATAGAACAGAAATATATTATTCTCACACCCATACTTCAAGAGTATATGTGTACCTTTTCCCTATTATCAAAGAAAAAAAATGCATCTTCTCATAATAATTTTGAAAAAAACAACTTCTTCCTACCAACTTAATGGAGAAGTTGGTAAATATGTGTATCGTTTGCCGATCAAAGCCATGAGCTAAATAACAACAAAACTCATTTGTATACACTTGTACACATGTTTATGAAGACATTTTTCGGATGGGAAAGTATCAAATCAGTCCTCGAACTAACATCAATAGTGCAAATCATCCTCTAAATTATAAAAATATGCAACCAAGACCTCCAACTCGGCGATATAGTGCAGATCACCCCTTAAATTAAAAAAAAACAATGTAATCAAATTCTCCAACTCGACAATATAGTGCAAATGACTTACCTTAGCTGTAATTTACCGATTAAAGACGATGTTTGCCATTTATTAAAAACAGTAAAATTGTCAAATAGATCCTTCTACTATTTTCAATCCATCACTTAAGCTCTTCTACTAAAAATATTATATAAGTACACTTACTATTAAAATATAATCAATCAAGTCATTTTGAGTTGTTGTAGCACGTAATTTTTGAAAATTAAATTAGGGATATTGATAAATCTGAAATAGTACAAATGTAAAAGTAGATAGAAACAATGCTTTAATATAAAAACATGCTATTAAAGTTCAAAACTCATACCTTTTTTTTGTTATGATGCCTTTTTTTAAATTGACTTTGTACAATTAAAAACCATTTAAACAATACTAAGTAATAGAAAAGGGTTACATAAATCGGCTAAGATGTTCGTACTTTGGACGGTTTTCAATCCCAGACCAAACTTAAACAGATCAGACAAGACTTAAACATAACAGACTAGACCAAACTTCCATATTTATAAAATACACAGAGGCCAGAAATTTACAAAACAAGACAAGACCAGACCAAAAAATTTCAGTACAATTAAAAACATCCAGTCTTCGCAACTCTCGCTTCCTTGGTCGGTAGTCGTTTCCTTCATGATGTGGTGGGGCGGTGCTATGTTTAGTTTTTGAGTTCACCGGTTGGTCTTCCATCATTTGTGGAAACACACGAGCATCTCATGACTCATGAGATCGAATGCTCAACCTCGTTCTATAAGCAGTCAATAAAATGTTTAATTGGGATATATTGAGGCGAATAAATGAATCTTATGTGGCATAATTTTTTTAATAAATGACGCAGATAAGCTTTAATCAGTAAATTATCGCTTAGGAAAGCCATTTGCACTATAGCACTGAGTTGGAGGTTCTGGTTGCACATTTTTCTAGTTTAACGGGTGATTTGCACTATCAGTGTTAGTTCGAGGGCCGATTTGATACTTTTCCCTTTTTTGGATTGTCACGGACAAAATAAATACACCTTGTCTGTCACAAACAAAATATATTTGGTTTGTCTATGATGGACAAACAAAATGTCTTCATATACGTATGTAAAAGTTTGTACAACCATGAAATCACTGAAATGTGTATGACAAAGTGTGTACAACCGTGAAATCACTGAAATGCGTAACACAAGAATTGTTGATGCTTTGCTGTGAGTTATGACTTCCAAATTAGTGTTCTGACTAGGGGTGGGCAATTCGGTTTACGGTTCGGTTTTCTTCGGTTTTGGTTCGGTTTCGGTTTATTCGGGTTGGGAGAATTTGTACCAAACTAAAACCATTTGTGTTTCGGTTCGGTTTCGGTTCGGTTCCGGTTCGGTTCGGTTTGAAGTTCGGTTTACCAAAGTACAAAACATTATGTTTAATTTAGTTTGATTGGATACGTTTGCTTATGTTTATTATTTTATTTGATTAAGTTCTATATTTCGAATTAGAAAATGAAAGTTGATTAAGTCCATCTTATCTTTTTTTAATTTATTGATTATTTAAATAAAATGTAAAAGAAAATAAAAGATAGAAAAATAAATAATAAAATATTATAAATTGAAACTTCTAACATCTTTTTTATCACTACAAAAAATTCACTTCTTACAAAAAATAAGATAGTTGATTAGCATTTATAATATCACATAAAATATTTATAAAACCTAAAAGAGTCGGTGGTACAAATGTTGTAATATTCACAATTTTATTCAAATGAATCATGTAAAAATATAAATGCAATTTGCTACTGTTATCGCCAAACATAATAAATACAAATATGTCGTATTAGCTAACTTTTTCACAATTATTGTATGTAATGTGTAAAAGTTAAAATGATATGAGTATATGCTTAAATATATGTATTTTCATGTCTAAATTATTTATTTATATCTTAAAAATGAAGAGTCATGAAGGTAAATACAAAGTGTGTGTGTGTGTGTTGTTCGGTTCGGTTTACGGTTTTCCATTTTAAAGCAAACCAAACCAAAGTACCAAAACATTTGGTTTGAACAAATGTTTACCAAACATTTAAGTAAACCTAAACCAAACCAAACCAAATCAAACCACCAATTTTAATAATATATGAAAGTTTTTTGAGTTTCTTTAGTTCGGTTCGGTTTTGTTCGGTTTTTATCGGTTTCGGTTCGGTTCGGTTCGGTTTAATACGATTTGAAAGAAATAGTACCAAACTCAAACCAAATTGCATACGGTCCGGTTTCGGTTCGGTTTAGTTCGGTTTGGTACGGTTCGATTAAACCAAACTGTTATGCCCACCCCTAGTTCTGACTATGTGATTCACTATTCGGCAATCAACCCTTTTTATTTTATCTTCGAACTTATGCATCAACTTTTTTTAAAAAAAAATTAACTTATGTATCAGTCGTTCATCACATGTAAATACATTTGTGTTTCAATATTATTCAAATAATAGTTACAAAATACACAAGTATTTAATTACTTATTATACTACGGACATGTCTACGGAGTAATAATTATAATGACTAGTTTCAATATAATTACTATATAAACCTCATGAAATAGACAGAAAGCCTAGTTGGAACTGATGAAGTATTAAGTGGCTCTGCTCCAAAACAAAAGAAGAGTATTCATTAAATAGTTGAGTCGTGTGGTTAGGTACATAGTACATCATCTATTTTTTTTGTAATATTCTTCTAAACATATTATAGTATCGCTAATGCCAACATCTTTGATTGGAATGAGATTCAAACCTCTGACCTCCTCTTTGGGAGATCAAATGATACCCAGACCTCAGACCACAGGTATTTGACGTATCTAAAATTTTAATACAATGCATTGTCAATGTTTTTCTGCCCCTTTTTATCAATTCTTTATTTCCAAAATAAATAATTTCCACTGTTGAAACTTGAAAGTATATATCCGCCAAACAATTACAGTGACACATGTTCTTCCAAATATTGTTGATGCTCCCCAGATTTGGTTGAATTACTTGAATACTGTTAGATTCTTTTGGCCCGAACTTGGTGATATGTAAAGGAGTACAACTTGAAAATTGCAGCAGAGAAATACATCAGACAAGAATGTCATGGCTGCAGCGACTGCCCAGCTCATCATTTACCATCTTCTAACAAGGGATATGAGTAACTGCAAATCCAAATCCCAAAGATATAATGTTAGTGTTGATTGCAAATGTGTGTAGCTTGATCAAACATAGGCACGTTGAGTCGTTTTCAGAATCATTTTCCTTCTAGATTGTGATACTGCATCAGATTAGTTAGTTAGAGTGGCGGTTCGAATGCTCGGTTTGAAATTCAGAAAATGTTTTTCTAATATTATCATCTGTGGTTTTTACCTTGGAAAATACAAATATAATTAACTTTGCTTAAAAAATTATTATTTTTACATATTTGTGGGGTTCTTAATATTTAAATACTTAAATTTAACAAGTTGAAAAGCGGGCGAAAAAATTCTGAAATTTATTTTTTGAGTTTGAAGCATTTTTACTTTCATCCACATTTTCTTTCCCTATGTATTTCCTCTTCTTTGTCCTCTCTAATTTTCCCTAGCATTTTCTGATGTCCAAAAGGATCGTACTAACAGTGTCTTTGGATTGAGGAAGAGGGAGGTTAGAAATGTAAGGGCATAGAGAGGAAGATATTGAAATCTATATGGATTGGATAAATTTGCAAAATGAAAGTAATGTGGAAAGTTATAAAGTACTATGATGTTCTGTTGATTCGGTTCTGAAGTAAATACGAGAGTAGGACAGAGTATATTATAAACAAAATTATAAATTTGAGAAGATTTCACTCTCTTCTCCTTCCATTCTATGTGAGGGGAAGGAGACCATTGAGAGCATACCCACTCATTAAACTAACACCCCATTACCTACATAAGAAACCAAAAAGATGGGTGTTCCCCTTCTTTCCCCTTGCATTTCTACAAGTAGGCTTACATTACATTGGTAATGAGCTAAAGGTGATTTGAGATTATCACTATGAGACCCGGGTAGCACAACTGGTAAAGCAGTGGAAAAGTTGGAGAATGACCAATGATCGAAACCCGCAACAGTTATGTGGAGGTCACGTTGGGTCTCTGATGCGCACGGGTATAAGGTCTACCACCGTTAGATTGGTTGAGTCACCGTGATTTACATCCTTTCACATGCTCTGTCGGGTCGGGGCGTGGGGGGGGCCTTGGGGTTGGGGGTTCAACCTTTTTTGGAGATTATCACTGTGAGATAACACTCTACACAGTCTTATATGCTAGTTTAAGACTACAACAAGCACAAGTAAATCCACACCAAGTCACCAATGCTATGGACTTGTTTCATCCTATAATATTCACTTGACAGAAGTAGTTAAAAGCCAGTCTTATATATCGGATTATTGTTTAATATTTAACCAGTGTGACAAACCATTCAACTAGTTCCATAAACCAAATGGCGTCTAAGAGTCTAGAGAACCAAACGCTCCCTAAGGCTATAGTATTTAGTCTAACTAGCATTATTTCATTGGAACACTAATAGTACTTATTTCACTATGTGCAAAAAAACTCAAAAAAGCCCCCGTTATAAAAGAAGAAATTACTTCAAAGAAAACGATTACCTAATGAATAGCAAAGAAAACAATTACCTCAAAAAGCTCAAATGGACTACCACGCTTATATACATCATTGGTCTTCCTCTGGTCATCAGAAATAATGCTTAATAACAGTGCTCTCCATCCAATAAGTAATACAGCAGTGCTTGCCATGGTGACTGCTATAAAGTTAACTGGTGGTATGTGACCAACAGTTGAAGCCCTTATGACTACACCCAACTGCGGTACAGCACAAAATGAGTTCCATGAGTTTATTATAAAAGTACTTAATTCCAGCTAGTTTGAGTTGTGATGTACATTAGTGACATGAAACTGTGAAGTCACATTGGTTATATTCCGAGGTGTGCATACTGACTTTACAATATTAAAACTGGAAGATATACCCTGTATGACTATAACCATTATGACAACTCATCACCATCTTATTTCCCTTCAAAGAAAACCCTATGATAATGAAGTCTTCAGAATCCAATTATTCATGGGTAAGAAAGCCATCTGGCAGCCTTTTGACGTGGTACACATCCTAGAAAGGTTGACTCTTCTATAATTAGATTGATAAATAAAAGAAATTATGAAGATATTGCAAGGTTATCCATGGAGAGACAACAAAGGTTGGGCCGATGGTGGTGCCTGACATTTGTTTAAGAGAACATGTCCAGAAGAGTATCCGTCAGGTGGACCATAAAATTTACTCGAGTATAATAGAATGGAGAAACTGAGAATACACCCTCAATGTTTACCTCGATGTTAACTCTAAACAATGACAAAACAATTAAAAACATATAGTACGTAGTTGTTTTAAAAGATTGAAACACATACTACCCCCGTACTGAAATCATTGCAACATGTTGAACTTTACTCTATTGAAATGCTCTACTTTGACTATATTTTATTTATTAATGTATTGAAATCTTTTTTTTTGAACATATTGTTAAATTTGTGTCATTTTAAAATTTCACAATCCGAACTTTTAATTTTATTTACTAATAGCAGTATAGCACATTAAAAAATGGACATAGTTGTGAGTTGTCAAACGTGAAAATGGAAGTGTTATCACTGAAAAAGAACGGAGGAAGAATATTTTAAACCTTTGAACACAAAAATCTCAAGATACATCACATATGTGTATACAAGATACAAAATACTACCTCCGTGGCTCTATCCCAAAATTTTCTTCTCACTTTGAATTTACACGCCTATAAAGTGAAAATGTATCGTTTTGGTTGATGTAGAAAAAGGAGTAATACTGTTAACCACACAAGCCATTTATCAAAATAGAGCTGTATTTGTTAGGTGCTCATTGGAATGGTTCATTCCCCAAACTTAAACAACTTCATCTCAACCCCACATCAAATAACCCCTTTCGCTGCAAAAATGTCAAAGGTACTTAGAGTTTAGATCCTCAACTTTGAAACCTATGCATTACCACTTCTTAACCCATTTAACATATCTAGTAGCAATCTAAGCAGTGGTGAAGCATAAAGGGTTTCCATAGTAACTACAAATTAAGTAATATCATCCATTCAATCTTGAACGAATGATAAGAACTCACCGGGATACCTAAAGACCAAGACTTTGCTGCAGCAATAAATGCTTTGAACCGACCATTCATTCCTCGTCCATCCTCTCCATATCCCCCAAGAAAGTATGCACTCAAAAACCACCCTATTAAACGTGAAACAGATATAACTTGCAGAATTTTAAGTCCACATTTCAATACATGTTTTAGTTGAAAGGGGAAAAGGCAAAAACTTGTTCTAGCTCAGGGAAAGAAAAAAATGGAGTTAAAAAATGTTTTCTTGGGTATGGTTTGTCTTAGTCTCTTAGAATAAGTCTAACAGGATAAGAATTAATTAATTCCTTCACAGATAATTAGATTTTTTAGTCTCTATAAAATCGAATAATAATAGAGTTTGAATGATACACACACACACATCAAATTCATCTATTGAGGCTGAACATATTTAAATTTTACACCATATTTTCTTGCCGTTCCAATTTAATCTCACTTTTTCTTCTCATTTTCTTTTCTGTAATTTTCCCAAGTTTGAAACTGAGCCAATAGATCAGTAAGATTGGCATACCAGCAATAAAAGGGTCAGCCGTTCGCAATGTCTCAGAGTCAAAAACCTCAAAACCATGACTGAATCTTCCAATTGCGGAGAACAACAGCAAAGCCGCCACATCCCCACCAGCTAGCAACGCCACTTTACTGAATCTCCCAATTTAAACCACACACATTACGAATTCAGTAATAAAATCAAACAAAACCCAAAGGGGATAATCTGGGAAAGAAGAAGGCATTACCCCCATCTGGGAAATGAAGCAGAAGACTCGGGTTTCTCGTACTGGATAACACCTTCAATCGGAACCTCATCCTGAGCGACAAAAGAGATTGTATCCTCATCAGCTCCGGTAAATGGAGCTGAACTGGGAGCAGCGGAGGTAGCGGTCCGGCGAGACGCTTCCGGTTCGGGACTAGCAAGCGTGATGGGCTTGGGGCGAATCTTGGGTCTGGAAGCAGGGTTGGGAATGGAAGAGAAAAGATGAGCTACTGGGCGATTGAATTTGAGGGAGCATCGGTTGGAAGAGGATAGTGGGGCTCCTCCGCCTCCGCTTGGTAGCAGATTCATCTTCTCCGGCTCCGATGATAGCGGTCAAGTTCTGGTCAATGGCCTCAGCTACAATATAACGACGGAATTGACCATTGTTTTCATTTTGCGGGGAAATTTCCATTTTCCCCATGTTCGGTAATTTCTTGGTCTGCATAATTAGCTGTTTTCACATTAAGCGGTTAACACTTCCAAGTATAATTAGTAGTTTAAGTTAACTTTTGACAATTGTTTACTTTGACTTTAACTATTGTGTACCATATTTTGAGCCCGTTTGGTTATTATTATGTTTTAGACTTGTCAAATTTATCAACTTTTTCATTAAACACACAACTTTTGATTTCGTAGACTGATTTATGTAACAATTAAAAAAAGAAAGGTTGAAGTTATTTTTCTTGTTGTATTGACTGAAATTACTGTAGATGATTATTTTAGTTCTTTAATATAATATTTTCTTTATTTTATTGATTATATAATTTTAAACTAGCGGTGTACGCACTACGTGCGAGTTATGCCCAATATGTTGCAAAAAAGAATCAATTCAAGATCCAAAATGTTCAATTTTCCATAGACCCAAATGACTTTCGCCTATGCATATTTAAAAACATTCACCAATTTATCAACTTAAATGATAGTAAAAACCGAAAGTATGATTTCAGAAAAAGCATACTTAATTGATCATTAACATTTAACTTCATCAGAAAGATGTGAATTTAATTAAAGTCTGGTTTAACAAGATTTACAACAGTTAAAGTACTGCTATCCAAGATTTGTATTTTTACATTTCCATGGATGTGAAATTGCATTTCACATGTGAAACATTACAGTAACAATGAATATATAGGTGTACCTAAAAAGTGATTGTGATTGCTCATAAGAGTTAAACATATATAGGAAGAGGTAAGGATGATGAACAATATGGTATGAGCAGACCATTCATTTAAAAGAAGAGCATTGCCGCATGTCAGAGATAGTTCTATTCTTTTTAAGTGAATGAATGAATGCATTAAAGATCAATCATCCCAACCAACTTAACAAGAACTCCCCTGACAATCAAATCTCTTTCTTTTTCAACCTCTCTGATCTATATATCAAGTTCAGAGTTAGAGCAGACCCAACAATCGATTCAGTAGGGCAGAGTAGTATAAAAGAAGAAGCCAATGAATTTAAAAGATGGTGATACAAATAGCTTTTGTGTTGATAGAGATGAAAATGGCAAGAGACAATTGCGCCATGGTATTTTGTGGCCTGTTGACACACCAATTATGTAGATGATATACTCCTGGCCAAAAAAACTTACTCCTGGCTAAAGTTGGCAGTTAGGAACTTGTTTGGGTATAATCCCAACAAGTATGTCGGTGTCTCGGTGATGATGATGATCGTAATATGCTGGCTACTTTTGAAGACATAGAGGAGGAATGGCACAGTGCCAAGATTGCCAGGCAGGAGGATGAGGAAGAACGCATTAAGATAGAAGAAAGGCCAAAAAACGCAAGATGATGGAACGCCAATGAATAGACACGGGGTTAGAAGTAGGGAGGAAATGCTGCTGTAGTGCTGTTGTACAATACTTAATGATACACATGAAAGCAGCAGTTTCTCCATAGGCTGTTCACTATTGTGTACTTCATGTTGTGTACTTCCTTTATTTAGTAAGTCAGGTGAAATTCCATTTATTTTATTTTGAAGGCTTGAAATTGCCATTATAACGTCCCGTTACCTAGACCAAACTGTTTTTATGATTAGGAACTCCCTAGGTCATGTAAGAACTAATTCCTAGTTTTTAAATGTAGAAGTTGCTTATGTATGTTGGAGTTTAATTATTATATCTACAGTAGCGATTTCGGTAAAATAGTATTCACTTGTGCTAGTATATATTATTAATATATATTTGTGTGATAATCAGATTTCGTATATTAATAAGTCCATGAATCTGTGTTAAAGATCTAAACCTTTCTTTCTCCTTTGATCGCTACCTTTCCATTATTCAAATAAAGTATTTATTTTTATTATCTTTTGAATAATTTTTTAAACTGAAACTTATACCGACTTCAATGAATCTGCTATATGTTATCTTCTGGTTAAATTGAAAGTGTATTGCTTCTGATTCCAATGAATTTACTGTATTTTCATGTTAATAGACCTCTAAACTGGAAGAAGTTGGTTGAGCCGAATCCTGAAATCGCAGAAAACAAAAGAGAATGCTTTTGTTTTTATAAATGGTTTACTTTTATTATATAGAAAACATTTTCAAAATATTAAAGTAAAGGGTTATTAAACTGACGCTTACAAATCAGGAACACGCCTTGAAATAGATCAAATTTGGGCGGAAATAAAGCATGGACTTTTACTTCCTTCTCTAATCCATTGCTAGGACATTCACCTCTATTATGCACTGATTTGAATATCACAGGGCAATAGCAATGATGTTTGTTAGCATATCCAGTTTTATTTATTTGTTGAAACTTGCAAAAAGGGAAAAAATCTTAGTTGGAACCCAGATATCTGCTTCATATTTGTAATTTAGATAATGTTAGTTACTACGTATTTGCAAGTAGTTTGTACCAGTCTTCATTTCGTACTGATTATGGGTTCCATCTTAATGTGTTAGCTAGCATTTTCTTTCACAATTATAACCACCTTTTTTAAAATAATATTTTGTTCACATTTACAAAGATGTGATTGTGCTATCAGTTGTTTAAAACAATATTTGAACTTACATGTAAAGTTTGGAAAAGCATATTGCAAAGATTGCAAAAGAAGTCACACTATTACTAATTTTGTAGGTGTTCATAGACTGTTTGAAAGAATGCCTTAGTGAAGTCACACTATTAGAAGTCACACTTTTACTAATTTTTAGCAATCACTCATCAAACTATTTGAAGCTTTCTTTATAGAACTCTACAAATCTGTTTTATTTAGTCAGTACAACAAAGCCTAGGGGTGAAACCAGAAGCCACACAGGGTCCAAATAATCTATGTCTTAGTTATTTTGCATTTTTGAGTAAGGTACAAAAAGAGAAACACACTTAGTTGTCATTATGTTAATTGTAGTAGTTAGCACTCCCCTTTCGGGCATTTTGACAAATACATTGGATACAATTAACTTCCTTTCAGTGTTACTAATTGTTTAGGGGCGGACCAAAAGGCGTTAATCTGTACACGTTCAATTAGTGGTAGGGTTTTGTGTGTATTTCAAAACATAATGAGCAGTTCCACTCGTAGAGCATACGAATTTTGGAATGAATCAAAACACAAAAAGTCAAAAACTGATTACAAAGTAAGATGTACCTTGATTAAAGAGGAGCCGTAAGACCAAAGAAGATGAGAAGTGTAAAAAGGGAAGAAAACATAGCGGAATTGCAGAGGCATGGCAACGGCCTGTTTTGAAATTATTTACGATAAAGGCTGGAAGCCTCCGTTGGCGAGAGGTTGCGAAGTAACCGCCTGGATGCGATTGGGTGTGATGCGTAACCAAGGGGCCGGTTAACGGAGAAGACACAAGTAGTTATTAAAATTAGACGGCAGTAACGGGAAAAGAACCATTTTAAGGGAGGATGGCGCTTATAATATAAGGGGAGATATAATCACCAGAATCATTCAATCCACCCATTTCAATGAAAACTTAGCCGAATATGTATCCTTTGAATCAGCGATTTCAATGTTATCAACCAGTCTCTTTCATACGTATCCTTAGTTTAGATTGGTCAAGAGGTCTTGTATAAACTACCTTCATTTGTAAGTGTGCCACTCCATATTTTACAAATAGGGGTGATCATATAATATTCGAGGTTAATGAAAAGAGAATAGAAAAATATTATTGGTACAGTATATTGTACACGTTCCATACACATTATAAATAATAAATAGACCCTTATAAATATCCTAAAGTTTTACCATTTTAATTTTATACTACCTCCGGTTTTTTTTTAATCTTCACAGTTTGACTTCACACAAAATAAGGAATGAAATTTGACTTTACTGTAGAGTACACTGTTGAGGCACTGTTTGACACTGTTTGGCACTGTAGAGACACTGTTTGGCACTGTTTTGATGTAGATTTCTTTGCCAAAAAAAGGAAATAAGGAAGTGTGAAGTTTATTTTAGACCGTCCCAAAGAGGAAAGTGTGAAGTTTATTAAAAACCGGAGGGAGTATTTTACATTATTCTCTCCCATGCTTTCCGTCTCTCCTCTCTCGGCCATCTCCCGCCATTCTCTCTTCTTTTTACTTTGGCTAAATAAGCCCTTGAACTAACCTAAAGTGTTGAATTAGCCCCTTATATAGGAGGTTCTTCTTGACCGTCGCCAATTACGGCGGTTCCCGGTGGAATTGTTTGATGAAATTTTTTGAACATCTTCTTCATTAAGTCTAGTTTACCCATACTAAATTCCAGCTAAAAATTCAACCGGGAAGGCAGTCAAATGATTTTTTGAAGATAACTACGCTGTTAAACAGCGCAGTACATTTCGGAAAATCATTTGACTGTCTTCCCGATTTAATTTTTTGCTGACCAATTGGTGATGACCAGGCTGAACCTCCTATATAAGGGGCTAATTGAACTCTTTAAGTTAGTTCAGTGATCTATTTGACCCTTTAGCCTTTTCCTTTTTTCTTTCATCGTCATCCCCTTCGCATAAGGATTTACCATATCTCATCTTCTTCGTCTTGTGCCATCTTAAACGATTAACACATCTTTATCATTTTCCATATTTTCATCTACATCATTTTCAATCTTCCTCACTTCACCTTTCAATTTCTAATATTTCTAATATTCATCGGAGATGGACAGTCGTCCTAAAACCAAACCGGAGATGAAAAATACCGAAATTATTAAGTGTATCATTTCAAAAGTTGTGTTTGACGTCCTACGTATTAGGGAGTAATAGAATTTGTATGCATGAAAAAAAAGAACTATTTTTTTTTAGTAAATGTCTATAAATTTTAGGGGTGGGCAAAAACAATGAACAAACCATATTGGTATGGTACCAAACCAAAAGTTAAGGTTTGAAATGAATCTTTAAAGTTATATACCGAACCGTAATGATTTCAAACCATTACATTACCCGCTCTCACAAAATAAGAACGGATACCAGACTAAATTATATGTTTAGCTATGCATTTACCTTAAGTCCCTAATACATTTACCCTAAGGATGTTTTTAATTTGACTGAAATTTTCTTGCCTCGACTAATCTGATAATGTTTGGTCTTTGTGTCTTTTATAATTTTCGAAGTTTGATCTGATCTGTTTAAGTTTGGTTTGGTCTGATGTGTGATTCAAATAAATTCAAGTGAAAACATCTTGAGTACCTAAATTATAAGATGGGAAAAGGTGCAAATAGGCCCATGTACTAACAAAAAAGGTCAAATAAGTCCTTATTTAAAAGGTTATGTCCGGCCGTCGTCATTTGGGGTGGTTCCCGGTGTAATTTTTTGATGAAATTTTTTGAGCATCTTATTCATTAAGTCTAGTTTACTCATACCAAATTTCAGCTAAAACTTCAATCGGGAAGGCATTCAAATGAATTCTTGAAGATAATTGCGCTTCTAACTACGCAGTTATTTTTCAAGAATTCATTTGAATGCCTTCACGATTGAAGTTTTAGTTGAAATTTGGTATGAGTAAACTAGACTTAATGAATAAGATTCTCAAACAAAATCATCAAAAAATTCCACCAGGAACCACCCCAAACGGCGACGGCCGGACAGAACCTCCTAAATAAGGGCTTATTTGATCTTTTTTTGTTAGTACATGGGCCTATTTGCACCTTTTCCCTTATAAGATTAATTCAGTACGAATTTTGTACAAGAACAAGTCGGTTAGAAAATAGCATAACCTCCATGTGGAGATAAATAAAAGTTAGAGAAATTGATAAGTGAAAGTTAAATAATTTCTACTTCACGTTATAATTTGAAAATTGATCGATGGTGCGGAGTTTTAGTGGATGACAACGTTTGGTATATCATCGCAAATTATACCGTGGGATCGGCCCACCTTGCGAACGATGTGCGATCCCAAACGGTGCCGTTTTCATTAATAAAAGTCAGTCTATCCTCTCCCCATTTGAATGGCCACAACCGGTTCTCTAACTCCTCCCCAAAAAATTCCAGGCTCGTTGTCGGTCATCATCGGAGACTGTTTTCCGTGAAAGTCATTCCCTCATCATCGGTCATCATCGGAGGTTGCTTCCCATAGTGAAAATCATATTCCCTCATCCACAACAAACATGACAGGCTATGGGTTCATTGAGTTCACGAGAATCTGCTCTAACTAGCTAGGTCTTCCTCAGTTGCGCACTAATTACCCAAAACACACAAAAGCATCGTAATCCCCTCTCAATTCCTCGAATCCCTCCCCAATCTGCTATAACTAGCTAGTGTGTTTTGACACGAGATGAGATCTGACCTTATGACTCAATGATTTCTAAAGATGGAATTGGGTTTCTACACGGGATAGGCAGCCATGGAACTCAATGATTTGTTCGTTTCTGCGGAATAGGCATCCTTGGGTATATAAGAAAAGTTACATTTTTATTAAAAGGATTTCCATTTCCATTTATCTCAAATTACATATCTATTAACGTGTGTTACATGTCAATTTTCCACAGCAAGTTACATCCCACTTATAAGTGATTTACATTTTTCATAACATAAGTTACACCACAATATAATGCGAGTTACACAACAAAATAAGTACATGCTATTGAAAGAAAAATTATTTTTATTAAAATCATTTTTATAGAAATAAAAATATAAAATGTTTGTATAAAAATAATTGTTATAAAAACTATATTTCAAGTAGTATAACAAGTTGAGAGAGTAAAATAAGTTACATGTTCCAGCGCGTGAGTTACATTTGAATACACAAAATTTATATTTTCCAATAGCGCGAGTTACATATCAATACAAAGGATTTACATCACGAAAAAATTGAGAGAAATGTAATGGTACTGTTCACGTGAATTTTGTTTTAAGTTAAAGCTTAAATCTAAACGGCACCGTTTTATATATGGGAGTAGGATGCTGATCGTGGGATGATCCCACGGTATAACAACTCGTATATCATGGTATTATTCCATTTTAAAATACAGAGTAGAACTGTATAGGAAGGTTTTAGTGTCAGGACAAAACAATATTGTTTAAATAGTTACGGTAAGGGTTCGGGTTTGACAAAATATTTGACCATCCCGGAACGTGCCCACCCCTAAACTTTCCTAATAAATTTAGGCCATAGACAAATACATTCTCTATTCAAACATCGCTTTACATTTGTTTTTTTTTTGCAAAGATGTAAATGTTTGTGATACAGAAGTCGATGTATGTGTACACAAGTTGTACACGACAAGCAAAAATGTCTATATTTATGTATATTTTGTTGTGCCAAGCATTTTTTGCCTGAGGCAGACATAAAAGTCTCGCCAAAAAGGAAAACAAATCGATGTCTGCACGTAGATATTTTTGCACTAAAATCTAACATATTTATCACAATGCTACTGTTAAATTGTGAAAGGAGGTTGGACAATGGATAAAGATGAAGGAAAATATGTCTACGTTGTTGAGTATAGTTAAATTGTGCGTGGATGAGTACGGGGGTGCGAGACTCATAAGTGGGGTTGTTCGTTTAGTGCGTTGCATTGTGTATTTAGTGTGGAATGCGATGAATGATACTATTTTTGCCCATAAATGATTCACCATCAATGGTCTTGTTGTGCAAATGAGACTACATGTGTATAGGCCGGGCTCAGTTTAAACTTTACCCGGCTAATATGATTGACTTTTGAGATTTTTGTGATCCAACTTTGGTGAATCAGAATGATGTGTTAAAGAAAACTAGATTTAGATGAAATTGTGTGAAGTTGTGCTCAAGCATAAACCTGTTATGCTCATGACTTAGTGAGAGTATGTCTCTTTTGTGAAAATGTAATACGGAGTAACATTTTTGGTTTAATACAAGTTCTATCTTTTCATTAAGGCTAAAGGGTCAAATAGGTACATGAACTAACTTAAAGTGTTCAATTAGCCTCTTATATAGGAGGTTCTGCCCGGCCGTCGCCAATTGGGGCGGTTCCCGGTGGAATTTTTTGATGAAATTTTTTGAGCATCTTCTTCATTAAGTCTAGTTTACCCATACCAACTTTCAGCTAAAAATTCAATCGTGAAGGCAGTCAAATGATTTTTTGAAGATAACTGCGCAGTTAAACAGCGCAATACATTTCGGAAAATCATTTGACTACCTTCCCGGTTGAATTTTTAGCTGAGATTTGGTATGGGTAAACTAGACTTAATGAAGAAGATGCTCAAAAAATTTCATCAAAAAATTCCACCGGGAACCGCCCCAATTGGCGACGGCCGGGCAGAACCTCCTATATAAGGGGCTAATTGAACACTTTAAGTTAGTTCATGTACCTATTTGATCCTTTAGCCTTTCATTAAAAAATGCTACTGTGCTTTGCCTTAAAATTCTTCTCTCTATTTCCCGAATAAGCTATATTGTTAAAAGGAGTCCCGCTTCGTGTACAAGCCAGGTTACACGCCGGTCAAATTGTTTGTGCATGTACAATTTGACCGGCGTTTTATGAAGAAAATCAATTTTCAAACAGACAAAAATAAAGAGTTTGTCTATATCACAAACATTTTAGACGAGATTTTTTTTATAAAATGTCTATGATACAAACAATATTAAACGAGAATTTGAAAATGTCTACGATACAGACAATTTTTATATTTTTGTGTGTAGGAAAATCGGG